CCTCCATGTGCTGCAGGGGGACAGCCTGCCTCACCATGGTCTTCACCACAGGCTGCAGGGGAATCTCTGCTCTGGCACCTGGAGCGCTGCCTCCTCTCCCTCCTTCTTCACTGACCTTGGTGTCTGCAGAGTTGTTTCTCTCACATGTTCTCACTCCTCTCCTTGGCTGTAGTTGCTCATTTTTCCCCTTCTTAAATATGTTATCCCAGAGGCACTACCACCGTCACTGACTGGCTCGGCCTTGGCCAGTGGCGGGTCCGTCTTGGAGTGGGCTGGCATTGGCTCTATCGGACATGGAGGAAGCTTCTAGCAGCTTCTCACAGAAGCCACCCCTGTAGCCCCCCCCGCTACCAAAACCTTGCCATGCAAACCCAATACAGTCTGATATTTCTTCTCTCTCTCTCCCCCTGGTGAAAACATGGTAAGTGTCCTCTGGTTCTTGTTATAAACACCCTTTTTTCCTTTCTCAAAAATCTTGTAATTTTTGATTCTTTTGTTAAGGCTTAAATGTTTAACAACTGCTTGTTTTAAACCAGCTTCCCAAAACAATTGGTCTGTCTTTCCCTACATTGTTGTATATTATTTATAGTACAGCAGTACTGAATGGCATCCAAATTAAGGGTCCAAGCAGGGACACGTTAAAACTGCAATTCACATTCCAAAAATCTTCCAAGGAGAAAGAAATCTTCCTTCTACCCTTTAGTGGTTCACTTTGAGCAAAATCTTATCCATAGCAGGAGGAAGCTTTCCTGTACACAAAACATTACATCTAAAATGACAAATAATATTTCTACAGGGCTTAAGGTGGAAATTCCATAGTAGCAGGGGAGGAAATTTTCAGTATAAGAAACTGTGAAATTTGTGATTATTGAAATTTGATTATATTTTATACTTTAAAAGAATTGTAGGTATTTTACATTAAGTAGTTGAACCTTTCTCTTGCATTACGTTCTGTAAAACTGGCCTTTTTAAAAACCACATTGTTTATACAGTGTGTGACTCTGAGATACAGTTTTAATGTATCTGTATGATTTTATGATTTGTCAAATATACTTGCCCCACACATTTACCATATGTATATATACATGTAAACAATGTGTCTATAGTATCTTAATAATCTCTGACACTTTTTTCAGCATAAACATTGTGTATACCTACTGTTTAGCCTAATGGTGACCGGTTTTCTTCTGTTCTAGTGCTTATGTACCAAAGACAGCAGCAGGTCATTGCAAGTGGGCAGAAGTTCTGAAAGATTTGGAGCAGATCAAGACATCCAAAGTAAGTTCATAAAAAAGTCAGCATTTCATGTAAGCATAGGAGCAGACATAATTAAATATTTAGCACTGTACTCAGCTAAGAAGTGTCAGTGACAGGGAGCAGGAAAAGGGATGGTGTTTGTATAATGCTGTTTCATGGGTGGAAGCAAGGGAATAGAAGGTTAAAAGGAATTGGAGTTGACCAAATACTGGGGACTCTAGAATTAAATATTATTTCCTTTCTCACTTTTTTCTAAGAAAAGGGGCAGTGGGCTTGGGAGTTAGGTCCTTCAGAGAAAGTATTGTGGGGCTTGATTCTGATGAGTCCTCCTCACAGTGAAGCCCATCCTGCAGGTTACTAGGTGACTTTAAGATCCCCTGCCTTGCCGGGGATGGATTGGGCCTTTGAACTTGGAGCTAATCCCTGTCTTGCAGAGTTAGCTTTATTATCTCTAAATCTGTTAGTTAATGTTCATAATTGTAACTCTTGTTTTCTTCTAGGACATTGATGTCAGTTTATATACTGCAAACACAGATGAGGATGTAAGTAAGCTCGAAATTTGACCACAGCTGGTCTAATACGGTAGCTTCATTTCTTTACTAGCAACTTTCTTCTAAGGCAGCCTTGATCTAATTTGAGAAAAGTTTCAGAAATCAAATAATTTGCCTTGAAAGTAACAGTTCTGTTAGTAAAGTACTTATGATAAATTACGTAAGCAGGTATTAATTATTTTTATTGAATCACCTGCTATTAAAATTAATCAATTAAAAGGGATGATCCCAAATGATCTTATTAAAGGAAACACTGCTAAAATAATGTTGGTATTCATTTGTAATTTGAGGGAGGAAAAAAGTGACAAAGAAAATACTTCCAAAGACGATTATTTAACACCATGCACTACTTAATGGAATAAAATACTGGAGAAGTGGAATATGGAGAGTAATTGTCAGCATCTACCTGTGCATTTCTCTGCTTTTGCCAGCCGCACACACATTCTCTTAGCTGAACTGAGCCAGAAAGGTTAATCCATTGTAATGGCTGATTTAATACCGGGTAATGTCAGGAAGATTTTCTTTAAGTGGGACAGTCTGATGTGAAAGTCAGACAACCTGGGACTTATTCTTGGCTTTATTGTTGACTTGATGGAGAAATCAGTACCTCTGCTTCTTTTTCTTTAATTGGTGAAATACAGATAATATCTACTCTCTCTTCTCCCCTACCTAGCTACCCTCCCCTCCCCTATTCTGAATTCAGATCTCTGAATGAAAGTGCTAGAACTACTAAGAATAATACTAATTTAATTCCACTATGTTTAATTATATCCCAAATTCCTATCCTAATTAAATATTTTTCTGTGTTCTGCATCAAGACACTATGTTTCACCTCATCTTAGCAAATTGGCTGGCCTTTATGCTGTCAGCTCTCACAGCCAATCGCAATCTTTGGAGATATTTAAAAGTATTTGAATAGTAAGAAGAGATATCCAGTAAATAAAAATCAGCCACTTCGTGGTAAATTATATCTTACATTCACTTATTCCTATTTAATCATAAAACTATTACTACTTCATTTTTTCAGAAAGAATGCCAAGAACCTGTAATAAGATGCTTTTTCTTAGAGATGAAAGTGATTCTTCAAGAATGTCGTATCAAAAATTGTAGTAAAACACAGGATGTATTGAACATATGCAAAAATGGAAATGCAAGCTTAGAAAAGAACAAGGTAAGCGACACCAACAGTCTGTGGAAAAAAGGCAAATCAAAAGAGTTTCTTCAGTAGCAGAAATACCTCTTTTGTTATATAAAAGGTGGGATGGTACAGATGAAAGCAAATGGGATCCAGCAACCTGTACATATACCAATGAAAAAGCTACACATATAATGATGAAAAAGCAGAATTTAGTGTTTTTTAGAAAACCACTTTCAGGATTCCCATCAAAGCAAATACTTTTGACTGTGCATACATACATCAGGGTGTATGTATGCACATACATGTGCATACATCAGGGTGTATGTATGCACATACATGTGCATACATACATGATGTATGTATGCATACATACATCAGGGTGTTTGAATGTGTATGTATAAATAACAGTGTGTAACTTCAGTATCTAAAGTCAGGTATGCTCAGACACATACAGAAAAGTATCCCAATCTTCAAAGGGACAGCCACATGCATCTCTCACTGAAGTGCTGTATCTTTGAGAGCTGATCCTACTCAGAAAGCAACCCAGGAACTGCACAGAACATAAGTACCGTGGAAGCCTCCAGCAATGCTTTCTTGTAGCCATTGACTGCATTGGAAATATTCACAAAAACAGGACAAACAAGGGTTAGTTTTCTATCAGAACAAATAGATCAGTATCCTGCTTTACTATTGCATTTTCTTTTTCAGTTGAATTCCACAACATCAGCAAAATGCAAAGAATGTGAAGAGTATGATGAAAAAAATTTTACAGAATTTATACAGAGTTTTGTAAAGGTTATACAGAAGGAATGCAAACACTGACCAAAAGACACAAGCTGGGAACCAAGACTCTTCCACGAACATCCTCAGAGAAATTAGATTATTGCCAGCAATAAACTGGAAAGTATATCACTTACAATCCTACTTACACAGCATAACACGTAAACAAAGAATAATAAAATCCCTGAAATTCACAATGTATTCATAACCGAATACACACAAATGATATTACTTATGAAATACAAATGAAAGGAATGTAACAGGGTTTAAAGCTTCTTTTTGACTTAAAGTGTCTTTGTTTTTTGGTAAATCCATCAGAAAAGAAATCCTGCCTAACTTACCAACATTCCAACAAAATTCTTTAAGAAGATCTCGGGATATTTGCAGTGGGAACCTCCTCATGAACATCAGTTCAGGGCTAAGCGAATGGGGTTTCAGAGAAAAGCTCTTCTATTATTAGTATTAATATAAATTTATCATACCCTGTTAAAGTATTTGGAAATAGCTATTTTTGTTATCTGAAATCTATCCCTTTACTATCTGTGCTCCTAGAAGATCCTAGCTCATCTCTCACTTTTGTTGTTAGTCATGTCTGACAGTTTTTCCTTGCTATTTTTCTTCTCGTTAACTTTCCTTCAACGAACTAGTGTCAAAACACAAGCTGAGGCCTGTTTGTCTTAAAGGTCTATTGGCTATCTCTTAATATATTTATTTGTACTATGGTTTTCAGGTAAACCCAATTACTTGTTTTACCTAAGAATTCAAAGTAAAAAATTAGAATATTTATTTAAAGATTCTTCCTTGCCTTTTTTCCCTTTTGTACAATGGTAGCATAAGGGTATTAAAAATTATCTCCAGCCTTCTCAACAGACGGTAATGCTGGTGCTTGGTTCCACTGTCCAACGACAGAACAGGCTTTGTTAGTTCATTTGTTACCTCTGACACAGGCACTACCTTAGTCATTATGGTAATTACTACAGTTCCTTCAGCAATTACCAAAGAAAGATTTCAATCTAAATTTCAACCAAAGAAAAGTAGCGTAAATTTCAGTCTCTGAATAAAGGAGGTGACCAAGTCTGTTACGCACTTAAAAAAAATAATTCTATGTGGTAGAAATCTTTCCTATGTAGCAGAGTTTGTAACTTTGGTCACCTTTTGGGATAAGAACTTTGAAGGCAGGAATCACTTTTGATCAGTTATTGGAATGTATTTCTAAGACTCAATGCAAAGTCACCTGTCCCCTGGTAGTTCTGAAATGTTGCACAGTCTTCTTTCAGCTCTTTCTAAAGTAACTGCTTTTTTCATGATTCATAACCATGTCATACCAACTGCTATCCATAATAAGTAATTCTTTCGTCCAGACACCTCCATTTCTCCATCTTCATTTGATAAATGGCTGAGTCATTCAGCTGTCCGCTTAGGAGGAAGGAAGTCTCAATCTCATTATGGCAACAAAGACACTGCTTGGTACTCCCTTATTGTTGGGTTACTCCCAACAGTCAATCATCTTCAGCACTCTGAGGAGCTGAATCTCCAGTAAACTACAAGAGAAAGAACATAAATGTGAGCACAGTGAATGTCATCTTCCAGGTGACTTACAGACTAACTGATTGGTAAATTCATAAGCACATTGATATCAGGATTAAACAATGGCAGAGGTATCACAGAAGAAATAAACAAATTATTTGCGACTGCAAAACATCAATGAAAGAAGTGTTTATTACATAGTTTGGATGAAGTAAACTGGTCCTACATTTTAAATTTTTCCTTAAAACAATGGTATGCATTGAATATGATTTTCTCCTGCCTGATGTCACGTGTATAGGCAAGGTAATACCGAGTTACAACTGTGGTCTTTAATCAAAGAGGTAACGGGATTTTCCTTATTTCTAGCTGTGAGGGAGCTTGAGACACAGCCCAGCAGTATTCGTGATGGGAGAAACAAACAGCTCCTTTGCTCAGATAGTTTTCTTTATCTTGGCCATTGTGAAAATTGGTTCCCTGATTAATTTTATTCTGATTTTTATTAAATCATTTACCAGTGGCAAGTATGTTAAATACTGTGAATTTGTCTTTCCAAAAGAATATTGCTAAGTCTGTGTCCACTCAGCTTGCCACCCCGTTAGCCACTTTCTATTGGACATTGGCCAAATCTCTTTTATTTCGTTTCACTTCCACCTGTTCCAGATGCATATTGTAGAACCAAAAAAGGCCATTGGCTAATCTGGTTCTCCAGTATTTCTCCTGGGGTTTTCGTTTTTCCTGAGAGCTAAGCTGCCAAATGAAAGCTTTACTGCATCCTGAATCCTATGGTTATAAGAAATGATCAGTATAAAAGATGGACTAAATTAAGGCCAGGTTGGTATTTTTTTTAGTGAGGTAATTCATACATATCCCAGAGGAAAAGATTCAATATGACTAAGATATGCATGAATCTGATATGACTTGTTAGTACTGCAGGCAGAACAGCAAAAACTAATTCAGGGTGCCTACTTTTGAAGTAATCATCCCTAGGTTGAGGAAGATATTTCTTCTACACAAGGTCTAGTCATTTGTGTGGCATTTACTATCTAATCTTTTCCAACTACTGTTGGTAAATGTTAAGAAAAAGATCAATACTGTATTTTCTCCAATTAATCCAACTCAGTTTGGGACTAAGGTGACTCATAGCAGAGTGTTTCTATGTTCAGAAAAAGAAATAACTCTACCTTTTGACACCAGAAGAGAAGAATAATGCTCTTCCACAGAATTTTTGGACTACATAATTCTGTTCCTGACTTTGCAATAATTTAAAATCTATTTTTCCTTTCCTTTCCTGGTATTCAGTATCCATATTTCTGTCTATACTTTAACAGGATAACGCAAGTAGCTCTAGGGCAGATGATGTCTGACATCCTCTGCCTTCTTGTTGTTTTGTTAGACCCTGAAGATAAATATTGGTTGCTCATCAATAGAACATTGCCTCCAGTGGCTCCGAATATTTGAGCACCTGTTGATCATGTACTGTGCAGGTAGTTTCACAGGAGACGTTTGAAAGTCCTCACAGTTTAAAGTCACTTCTGGATCAGCATCAGTTTATTTATACAAGGACTATTAGCTATAATACTTATAGCTATAATATAATTACAACACATAAGAGAATTTAACCTATGATTTCTGCAGTCCAGATTTTCTTTTAAGCAGTCCATCTACACTGCATGATCAATAGATTTCAGCTTCTGCAATGTCCAACTGTCTTTTACAATTAGAGGGCACAGTACGTCTTAATTTCATTTCCCTAGTAGACATTTGGACCTTAAAAGTAGTATCTGACAGTTTCCTCACAATTTTTTAAGTCAGTTCAATTTCTGACTAAGGTTATACAGTGATTTAATTAAGCTAGTAATATGGCATTATCACTGTTGAGTACACCGAAGGAGTATTCTCCTCTGATACCCAGAGTAAGCTTTTACATCCTAAGTGGCCCTTCTTAGGCATTTACCTATGTGGATGCATAAGTCTGTAATAATTAATGACTGCCCAGAGGTAGTGTTCCATTTGTCTCTTCTTTAAGCAAGGAGATGCTATTTTAATGGGCAAGATGCCTTCAGTGAGAAGCCAGCAGCCGTGGGAACCTTGAGAGCAAGCAAAGGGCAGGCTAATAAGAGTGCTGCAGGTCTACAGCTGCTGGTCTGTTTTGCCCAGACAGAAACAGGTGACTCCTCATTTGACGTGAGTGGTGGTATGAGTGGTTTCATGTTTTTCTCCATTCACATCCCCTTTTAAGGGATTGATATAAGTGTTCATTTGCTAGTTCATTTGGAAATGAGAACTTTCTGAAAGCTAGAATCATTAACGGTAGTGGAAAAAGACAAATTCTGAACTGCAGCTACCTATCTTGTTGGGAGCTTCACTGTTTTGGGGAAAATGTAAAAAAAGGTGATTCTTTGCCTGCGGTGAAGTAGCAGCAATTTCAGATTATCCGTCTTGTTCAGTGAAGTAGCTGGGGGCTCAGCAGCAATTTCAGATTATCCGTCTTGTTCATATGGCTATGTGAGGAAAATAATAGTTAGAAACATACTTTAGGATCCATTCCAGCTCCATGTGGCAAAAGCTCAGAGAGACAATGAACATTTGAGTCAGTCAGCCCAATGTACAGCGGTAACTCTTAGAAAGGAGGGCAAACAGTGTATTTGCTATGTGTATCAACAGGCATTCTTTATAGCTAAAGCAGGGTTTCAACTGCTTCAACCCTTCAACCGAGGGTCCAGATCCAAAGTTTAATAGAAGCCAAGGAGGGTAGCTACTGTAGAAGCCAGTACAGTCTATGTTGATTTAATCTCCTGAAAGCAACAGCCTGCTCCCTCTTTGTTTTTCCTGCTGCATGCAGCTTTCTGAACAGGCCCAACAGAGATTTCAACAGAGATTCAGGATTTTTTTCATAAGTCTAGTTCAGCACCTGAAAAACAGTCATATTGTTACATGCCTTAACAGAAGATGTCACTGAATTACCATCGCCTGCATGTTTTGCCAGTTATATTTTTGAGTACCAAAGAACTGTTCAATTTTTCAGTACTTCTGCCTCTAAGTAGGAATACTAGACATGCAGGTGCAGCAGATCATAGGCATTCAAGTGGCTGCACTGGAGCAACAGTATTATCCTCCTATCACACCAGAGGATCAGTGAATGTCTCCAGAAATATCATCTATTTTGTAAAGCAAAAGGCCATTTGCATTTACACAGAAAATTACTGCGCAGTAGGTTATGGCCTCCAGGTAAACTGACTAGGACAGAGGCATGTTGCAAATTAGCTTTTGTATGACACATAGCACTAGATAATCACATCACTACCCATTCCAAGTACATAAATTACATGTACAATTATTAGTCAACTCATTTGTCTAGGCAGCTGCATCACAGATACTGTGGTTCTACTGTCCACTAAACTCAAACTAAGTGCCCTGTCACCCTTGTGAATCTCTTTCTCTGCCTGCCATCCTTTCCTAGTTTAATGCGGGCAACGCCACAACAGGATGGAGCTATTAATATTTTGTTGCACTTCTCATAGGAGTAATATGGAACAAATATATAGGAACAATATTACAATAAAGTCATCTAAGATTAGCCTAGCTGTAATTATCAATAACTCCAATATCATAAGATTTGCTTTTCTCACAGTTACACTCGAAGGTGACTGAGCTGCCAACCTCTTCCTGGTAGTACTGGAAAGCGAGGAAAAATGAAACATCCACTACAGGAATGAAAGCAAACAGGAGGAAGGAAATTATAACAGTGAAAGCAAAATTATTCCAACTCACTGTGAATCTACTGCATCAGTTCTTTCTGAGTAGCAGAATTTGGCAAAGGGCTGGATGGAAATAAGGATATGCCTGCAATTTCAAAGATAAACAGCAAATTTCAAAGAGTACTTCCCACAACTGCAGTCAAATCATTCATGTCTTCCCCCTAACAGGCACCAAAGGGGGGTTTTGGAAAACTTTGGAAATTCCCATCCTGAGTCCCTGAGCCAAGGTCATGAAAGGGTGTCTTGGCAGGACGACTAAGAATGTGAGAATGAACTAGCTGCTCAAAACAAGTGGATGAAGCCAAAGCAAGAGACACAAACATCATTGTATCCTTAAGTCAGTATCGGTGTTCTTGAGAATAGAAATAACATTAATTTTTATCCAAAGTAGCCTTCACTTGCAGCTCATCCATATGAAGGCATACCTTACTAGCGATAGAAACAGCATTGCATATCAGAATTTCTGTACAGCATCAGGAGACTGATCAACATGACACTGAGCCATACTTAAAAGGGGACTATTCTGTAGTGTGTAAAGAGCTATACCTTCTCTAGAGGCAGAGAAGAAACAACTAAACTTTGCTACTATGCTCTCTATGGAATATTACTCACATGAACTTAAGGAGGAAAAGAAAGCCGTAAATGAGTAGGTTATGTGTTTTGCAATAATAAGATCAAATCAGCATCTCTAAGCTGTTTCCTTCCAACTATTTTCCTCCAAAACCTGGAAATGTTAGAGAATTCTCATGTCCTTATCAAAAGGCTTAATTAGGCGAATAATCAACACCTTAAATAAAGACATAAAGAAATAAAAATCTTCCAAAACCTCACCCTCTTCTGAATACTTATTAGAGGTGGTATTTTCTTGGTCAAGTAGAGCTGATCAGGAATCAACTGGATTGGTAAAAAAGGGGGAGAAGATGGGCAAATACAATAAAGAATGAAACATCTGTTTAAATGACTGACTTATCTGTACCGTGGCATAGGCAGATCACTACCTCTAAAAGCGGAAAACGTATGGGGGAAAAAGGAATGAAGTTAGGACATAAACACAAACCAGGGGGATTTCTGGGAAATTTCTTGAGAAATACCAAAGGCTAAAGAAGCTTATTTTAACTTTAGCATACAAATGAATATCTTATCCTGATTCTCTTCCTTCTGAGTCTGAATCAGATTTTTCAGATATGGATGGTGACTAACTACTGGGTAAAATCTTTAAAGTCTCAGCCAGATGGTGAATGGGGAGGGAAGCAGTTGAAGAAACGTCAGGAGTTATCTAAGGTATGAGGCATAATCTTTAGAACATGTGCTCGTGGACAAAAGAAATGAATCGACGTAAATACCTT